GCTGGCAGAAGTGTGGCCACAAAGCGCTGGCCCAAACTAGCATCTTAACACCAGTCACACAGGAACACCTGAGCGCTGGGCAGGTTTGAGGGAGCAAACATAGGTAAGGTGGTTAAATCTGAGTTTCTATCCTGGTGATGCTTCAGTGTTGCATATATGTTTGGGGTAGGAAGAAAAAAAGAGCAGAGAAGATGGTGGAGGTGTTGTATCCACCCAGGCGCTGACGTGTTTAGGTCAGAGTTAACAGTCTTCACGTTTCTCAGTGGACTGAAATGTTTTCTGAATTTGGACAGGGCTGAATAGCCAATGTGCTACTGAAGTGAGTCCTCTGCACATGAGCACAAGTGAAGTTTCCTGAGTGTTTACTGTGTGCTGGACACGTGAACAAGACACACAGTGCCTCCCTTTGTGGATGCCACAGACATTCCACAGAAGACTGCCTGTCAGGGCTGTGGAGGAGAACAGGGTGCCACTAAAACCCCAGTAAGTATGTGTATGGGGCACATATGGGGATGAGCAGGTTGGTGAAGGCCCCTTTGAGGAAGGTCATTTTAGGTGAGACTGGAATGGTGACCACTTTGAGGGATGAGAGAGGGGGAGAGACAGAGAGGAACTTTCAGTGGCTTGAGAGAAGGCCTGAGGCTGGGAAAGCTCCATGAACTAGAGGAACTTGAACAGGCCAGTGGGGGAGTAAATGGGAAAGTGATGGAAGGTCAGAGAGGAAGCTGGGGTCTGGGAGTCACAGACAAGAGGTTTAGCAGGAGGATTCCCTGAAGGGATGAGATGACCTGACATAAGCTGATTTGAGAGGTCATAACCTTGGAGTGAAAATGAACTTGAAGAGGTAAGGCTTGAGGTAGCAGGAGACACTCATGGGGAAGCAGGGACACCCTTCTAGGATCAGGGAGGAAATAAGAGTGTATTGTAGGTAGGTACTGGCAGTGAATATGGATTTGAGAAGTCTTGAACTTTCTAGTACAATGGAAGTAGACTGGGTGAGAAAGTAGAACGTCAGGAATGTCCTACAACTTTCTAGCAGACATAAATGCCTGAACCCAAGTATCTTTTATTGAGATGGGGAACTACAAGAATGGAGGGGCTGGGGAAGAAGCCCTAGTGCTCATGGTTTTCCTTCAGAGACCATAGAGTCCACATTTCCTGGTACACACTGTGGCCTGGCAGGGAGGGGCTGAATGGTGTACACAGGCCACGTGTGATAGTAAAGTACTAAGAAGCCACACAGCACTGTGCATTTGCTTCTGCAGGGACAGGTTCCTGGAGCTGGTCCTGAAAGATCCTGATGCCCAGTATTAAACTGTCCATTGCCAGGTTGTGGGATGATGTGGTTGGTCTCCTGCTGAAGAAAAGCAAAGCAGCTATGCTGGTGGCTCCACAAAGGCTCTTGCACCTGAGATACACCCACAGATGATACCATCTTAGTAATGAACAGTCGGGCAACCTGAAGAGTAGTAGTTGTTCAATAAATTGTTGCTGAGTCTGTGTCTTATGTGTCCTCCAGCAGAGTGGGTCAGTGTACCTGTCCCTGCCCTGTTTCATGGCTCTGATCATGCCGTTTCCTTCCTGATAACTAGGGTGCACCGTCCAGAGGGCAGGGCAGAGTCTGCTGCGATTTCTTGTTGTAAGCTGTCACTTTCAAATGGTGGAAGGAGTCAGCACGAGGTGGATTCTTCTGTCTGGGAGTGCTGAGTGCCCCAGCTCCCTGTTTTGGGACAGGCCCCTGCAACCTGTCTCAGGCTCTGCTTCTCTGCTCTCCTGGGAACCACTTGCCTCTTAGACAAGAGGAGCCTGTAGCACCAGGGTTGGATCTGGAAGCAGGGTGTGGGACTCGAGCAGCGAACTGCAGATGCAATTTCTGAAAACAGATTTGGGGTCGGCTGAGATCTTGCACTGCTAAGTTAGAGATATTTATGAAGTCCCGGGTTTTCCAGCAGGTGAGTGGGTTCTGAAGACATCTGTGGCCAAGAAGAGGAAAGCTGGGAGCAGCTGGCTGGGAGGAGGAGGCTGAAATTGTGGTGGGACTGGGGGTGGTGGTGCTGGATAATAATGAGGTTCTGAGAAGACCCAGGGCAACTACAGTGAGGGCTGCACTTTTACTCATATTTAATGACATTTCTGTGGCATTATTAAGACCAGGGACAGTTCTAATGACATGTACTGACTGTCAATAAATAAATTTCTAGGATTCTCCTTATATCTTTGGGTGAAATCCTGTTACTATTCCCATTTTGCAGATGAGGAGCTGAGGCAGAGCAGGTTAAGAATCTTGCCTAAGAAAGTCACACAGAAAGTGGCTGAGCGTGGAGGAGATGTCAGCAGTCAACCCCAATTTCTTTCCTTCCCAGAACAATTGGCTGCCATCCATGTATAACTGGTTTGAAGCTCTTTTTTTCTGACCAGGACTCATTTTATCTTCTGCTGCTCTGTCTCTCTGGAATCCTTTATCCTGAGGCAGAAACTCCTCAGAGATAGAGAAGATGAAGATTATTATCTTATCATGGGGTACTGACTGGGCACTGACTATATGGAAGTCCAGGTTCTTGGTCTTGAGAAGAAAGGGCTGGGGGGGGAGCGGCCTAAAATTCAGGTGAACTCAACAAGCAAAGGACCCCAGGACAGCATGCATGTGGTGGGAGCCACAGTGTCCTTGAGGAGGACACAGTCTGACTCTCATGCTTCTCAGTCATTCCCTGGTCATGCAGGAGCTCGTGTGTCCTTCATGGGGAAGGCCCTGAGTCTGGGTCCTGTGTCCCTGTGGTGGCCTGAGACTCATGCAGACATGGAGGAGGCCCCTGTGCTGAGCTGGGAAGGTCTGGTCCTGTGGGCAGAGCAGGCTGGGAAAGTTTCCAAAGGGCTGGGAGGGATTTCTTGGTATCAGGTTTGTGGCTGCCGCCCCCGCCCCAGCATAATGAGCAGTAGGAAAGGCTCTGCTCCTGCTGGGGACTGTTGCCAGCCTTGAGCCCTGCTGTCTGCTCTGAGGCCCAGAGCTGTGGCCTGGTCCTACACCTCCTTTCCATTGATGTTCACCTGCCTCCTGCCCTTGTGTCTCCCCAGCTCTGAGGAAATGGAGGATTGCTGCAGGGGCTCTTTGCTCTCCCATCTCCCCTTCCTGCTTCTCCTCTTCCAGCTGCCCGCTGGGGGTTCTGCAGGTGAGTGTGTCCCCTCCCTCTTCCTGTGTCTCCCTGGGGTGGGTGAGAGCCCCCAAGACTGTTAAAACCTGCCCCCACTGCACTCTCCAGTCCTCTAACAGACTTAGATAGTATGGGGTTGTGGTATTTACTACTCCCTGTCTCCGGGACGGATGGCTATTGGTGGAGGCCCTGGCTTTAGAGAGATTCTGGTGATCCTCCAACTGCTAGTAGTATCTAAACTTTTAAGAAGAGTCCCAAAACTGTAAACAAGGACAGGGGACCATGACAGTTGTCCAATGAGGAGTTTATGTTTTATAAAGTAAAATTGTGCATTTCACTATGAAAAGTGTGAAAATGAACTTCCCCTCATTTCTTGTTTCCTGGCTCTATTGGTATCTAACCACTTATTCTGTGATTAATTCATTACACCCACAGATACTGACAGGGTGTCCAATGTGTGTTAGGTGCTACTCTATGTACAAAATGAGAGAGTATCTGTCTTCACACAGCTCATTCTGGCAGGAGACAGGGAGCAGTAAATACCACAACCCCATACGATCTACGTCTGTTAGAGGAGTGGAGAGCATGGGACAAGGAAGTAGAGCAGGGTGTGGAAGTGAGGGGTGCGGGAGGGCTGTAGGCAGGCTCCACAAGGTGCTCCATAAGGTGGTCAGTGTAGGCAGTGAGATGGGAATGAAAGTTGGTGGGGGTGGTGTGTCATCCTGTGAGGATCCCCCTGGATTGAGGCTTTCTATCACGCGGAGCAGCCAGAGCAAAGCCGGCGGTGTGCCTGGGTGTTCAAGGAGCCAAGGAGGTAAGTGTTGGCTGGAGCAGAGTGAGCGAGAGGGAGAGAAGCAAGCACTGGGGGTCAGAGAGCAGTGCGGGGGGGTCATCCCTTAGGGCCTGTGGGCCACGTGGGAGAACTGTGGAGCCATTGTAGGGCTTTGAGCAGAGGAGGGACATGGTTTTGCTTACAGGTTGAAAGAGAATAGTTGGGGAGAGAATAGTCACAGGGAGCCTAGTCACTGTCATCCCGCAGGTGAGACATACAGTGACTCAGCCGAAGTTGAGTAGCACAGGAGGTGAGAAGTCACTCTTCTGAGGTCCAGCTGGGGTCTTTCTGCAGAAGTGTTCTGTCGTGACATGTCCATCAGTTCTCAGAAGACCAAGGCCTGTGAGGGGTGTGACACTGAAGTGAAACTTCCTTTGTAACAAGTAATGATTTGGGTCCTGTGATTGATGGAGTGGGGGCAGGTTTTAACAGAAATAACTGTGGGCTCTAGTTATTAGTGCACATGTAATTCAGCAGAGGAGAAACACATGGGCGGAAATAATAAACTTACGAGCGGTCATGGGGAAGTTCCTGGGTATGTCCCAAGAAGCAGAGAGTTCCCACCTAAGCCTAGGGTGTGCTCTTTGGTCAGTTTCCAGTCCTGTCCTAAGAGGAGGCAGGTTAGAGCTGGATCTCAGACTGTGGTCCCTGGAACCACAGCATCAGCATCCCTGCTACCTCCTTAGAAATGCACATTCTTGGATCCACCCCCAAACTGCTGAACCAGATGCTCTGGGGGTGGAGCCCAGAAATCTGTGTTTCTCAAGTTATCCTGGTGTTTGTGATGCCTGTGGAAGGTTAGAACCACTGAGTTAGAGAGTCCTTCACGGAAGGGCCTGGAGCCAGAAGCACAGGCTGCTGAGGGAGTCTCTTTGACATCATTGCTGGGTCTCTAAGTTGTTAAAGCACAAACTTGCCCTGATTCAGAGTGGTCACAACTGAGTCCCTCAGATCAGGGCCTCCCACCTGACAGTGTGTTCCCTGCCCCTGTCCTTCACCTCTCCAGCTTTCTCACTCCTATGTCTGTGTCCACAGAGGAGTTCGTGGTGATTGGCTCCTCGGACCCCATTGTGGCAGTGCTGGGTGGGAACATCACGCTGCCATGTCGTGTGTTTCCGGCCATGAATGTGGAGAACATGGAGCTGCGGTGGTTCCACTCCAATTTCTCAGAAGCAGTGTTCATCTATCAAAACCAGCAGGAGCAGAGAGAGGAGCAGTTGGCCCAGTACACAGGGCGCACCTCACTGGTGAAGGAATTCCTCACCTGGGGGGAGGCCATCCTGCACATCCAGAATGTCCAGGCTTTTGACAATGGCCTATATACCTGTTTCTTCAGAAAGGGCAGCTTCTCTGAATCTGCCAGTTTGGAACTGAAGGTGGCAGGTGGGTTGTTGAACTCTATTTAGGGTGCTGTAGTATTGGAGTTGGGAACAAACTCAGGGCCAAGTAAATCAGCCCCTCATTTTACAGATTAGGGAAAGGAGGGTCTTCCCTTATTCATTAATCCAGTGAGAATATATAGAATCCCTATGAAGTGTTGGCTCCCCTTCTGGGCACTTGCAGGCATCACTGAACCAAACAAAGTTCCCTGCCCCGCTTCTAAAAGCAATAAAAATGTAAACAGATGGGTTATAGAGGATGTTAGATGGTGATGAGTAGGGACTTAACCAAATGGATATCTGGGGTTGAGAGTTCCAATCAGAGAAATGCCCATGTGAAAGAACTGAGGTAGGAGTGTGGCTGGTGTTTTAGGGCACAGAGGGAGGCCACATGGTTGGTAATACAAGTGGATAGGAGCAAGTGGGTGATTCTAGAATAAAGAGGTATTCCTGATTCAGGTGCACAGGGAAGAGATTGAGCAGGAAAGTTCATGAGGAGTACACACTTGAACAGGTACTCAGGATCACCAGACTCTTCCAAAGGGCCTTTCTGGTTTGTGGTCTGGACTATCAGGGGCACAGAGAGAATGGTGATTGTGGTTATGAAGTCCTGGGGCTGGAATGCTGAGGGGCATAGGTGAGAAAATTGGGGAGAAATGGACAGGAGTTTTGTTGGAGGTGGAGGAAGATGTCAGAGGATAGAAGGCTTTGTGCTGCATACTGATTTTGGATGTAGAGGTGAGGAAGTTTTAAATAGGATGGTACAGGGGTGGGGAATTTGCTTTGACAGCATGAGGCAGGATGGATGGGAGGAGAGGAACACTAGAGGCATGGATATAGTACACAGTGGAAGGTTGGCTGTCTGACTTCATGTAGGGGTAGGGGGGTGGGAGACATTTGGCTTCAGAGAGCTTTGGAAATTAGACTCAAGTGAGTCAGTGGATTTGGGGACCTAGAATTTGGATGAGGAAGAGGGGATTATGGAGAGTCCTTTGACTATTTTTTTAATAGTAGTAGAAATATTGATAATTATGTGTTATTTCCCAATTGTCATGATGCTGTGTAACACACAGCCACAGAAATCTTAGTGGCATACAGCCATTTACTTATTTTGGGTGTTAGGTGAATTTAGCTGGGTGTGCTCATACATCTTTGGTCATGTTGGGGAAATATAATTAAAAGGAAATCTCTGAGAAATCTTCACAAAAATAGCAGGAAAGAAAACCCTTTTATTATAGAATTAGATTTACCAAAATGTGATGTGTATCATAGACAATCTTTGAAGAGATGCAAAGACAAAGAAATCTCACCCTTTTTCATAACCATGCAGACACCACTCATTACACATGTGTTCTCAGGATAGACAGTTATTAGCTCTCAAGTAAGTGAACATGACAGCACCAACTGTCACAAACAGATCACCCTAGAATTACTTGGTAATTCGGGCAACAATATATGTTAGCTAATTGGCTTCATCCTGAAAAAAACGCATTCTTCAATCTTCATGACAGGAGGTGGTCTTACATGTGGATCCTGGTGCCCACTGAGGTTAGGCTCCTACCCTGGCACAGGAAGGGGGAGAGAGGTGTGCTGTCTTCCTTGGTGTGAGCAGTTCAAAGGGAAGATTCCCAGGTCCTTGGGAAATACATTTTTGGATTACAAAGCTGGCTAAGGGCCTATCTGTGTTTTTCAGTGGACTTATATACATTTCAAAGAGGGGGAGAAAGCACCCACAATCACATGTTTCCTCAAGTAAATGCTAAAAGAAAAGGATAGGAAGGGGCTCTCTTTCCTTATTTTCAACAGGGACAATAAGCCCCTTACTTTTAATATATTTTGCTCTGACAGTGGACCTTGGCTGGGTTTGCTCACAGAGCTGTTGTTCATCTGGCTGTTGGCTGGGCTAGGACAGCTGCAGCTGGAAAGGCTGTGCTAGTCTGAGCATGTCCCTCCCGTGGCAGAAGGCGAGGCAATGGCACAAGCAGTTCCCAACCTCTGCTAGAGTCACATTCCCTGAACTAGCAGTGGCTGAGTCAAGTGACGGGATGGAGCCCAGAAGCAGAGTGTGAAGTCACTAAGAATATGTGGCAGAGGGCGAGCTGGATGTAAAAAAGGCTGAAGGATTTGGGAATATTTTCATCATCAGCCTATCACAGATGGGGCCAAACATGAATTAGTTCAGGATTTGAGTTTGGAACATCCGTGAGCAACTCTGGCAGAGCTAACCCAGGGATGTGGATATTAGGAAGGGAGCTCAGGAGGTAGGTAGGGTTGGTGAAGGTGGAAGTGATGTACCAAGTGGCAGTGTGTGTGCAAGCAGATGTCCTGGAGAGTGTGTGAGGTGAGAAGAGCAGAGAAGGATGGATGCTGAGACCAAATTCCTCTTTCTGTCACTCTGGGGGATGGATTTCCCACCCTCATGGTTGGGGAGAAGAGTCCTGCCCTCTGTATCTGCTCAGGTGCCCATGCTCCTTCCTTCTATTTTCTGTGGCAGGACCCATGTTTTGCTCCCTGCTGTGTTCACTCCTCAATGAGGCCTCCAGAAAGCAATGCTGGCCTTGGAGTTGTGCATGGGAAGGCTCTGCTTGCATCCCTGGGTTCTGGGTGGCCTCCCTGTGCTCTCTAGCTTCTCTCTTGCAGGTGTGGGCTCTGGCCCTCAAGTGCACATCACAGGGCCAGAGGAGGATGGGGTCCGAGTGGTGTGTAAGGCGTCAGGGTGGTTCCCAAAGCCCCAGGTGCAGTGGAGAGCCCTCAGTGAAGAGAAGTTCCTGATGTTCTCTGAGATCCATGTCCAAAATGCTGAAGGGCTGTTCAGTGTGGAGGCTGCTCTGGTGGTGAAACACAGGTCTTCAAGGAATGTGACCTGCTCCCTCCTCAACCCAATCCTGAGCCAGGAGAAGGCAATGGCCATTTTCATCCCAGGTCTGTGCTGTTTCCCTCTCCCAGTAGGGCCATAGGGAGGGGGTGGGAGTCCCTGGGTGTGCTGGGTGTGCTGTCCTGGGCTGTGACCCTGACTGTGTGTTTGACCGGACACAGAGGACTTCTTTCCCCAGACTTCTCCCTGGATGTCAGCTTTCATGGGGATCCTGACCTTGATGATGCTCTTACTCCTTGGGACTGCCTACTACACCAAAAGAGAACATACTGCAAAGTGCCAGGAGATGCAGGAATGGGAGAAACTCCACAGGGAAAAGGAGGAGGACCAGTGGGCAAAGGAGGAGGCACTGAAGGCCAGAGGTAAGGCAGGACAGTGGCCAAGACCTGTGAGTGTGGCAGCTGGTGCGGAGGAAAAGTGGACAGAGGGCCCTTGCCCTGGACTGGGTGGCTGACGAGGTCCAGAGAGGACAGCTGGAGCTGTGGAGGCTCGATGGATCTGGAGCTATAACTTCTAGGGTACTGAGATGAGCATTTGTGGGTTTGTCATGTGCAATGTTGGCTGTTCTTAGAGATGGGAGTTCATGTTTACTTCTCCCTCTCTTTCAGATGAACTCCAAGCAGATCTTGGTAAGTTCTGCTCTTCCTCTAGAACTTTCTGTGTCTTCTTAGTAGGAGACATTCTGGTTCTTAGCTCACCTGTTTCCTGTGTTGCCTTTCAGACTGGAGGAAATCTGTTTACCTGGCTGGTGAGTGACTGTCCAGATGTCCTTGGGTCTCTTGTTCCACCTAAGTCAAGGTGTCCCCTCTCCTTGTTTCAGGCAGGGACTGAGGACCCTTCCCTGGGGCAGAAGTGGAAGCTGGTGGGAAGCAGAACCCTGTTCCTTGAGCTTTCCTCAATCTGGGCCACTGTTTCCCACCCAGCGCTTGAGAACCTGGGGGTGATGGTGGTCCCTGGAGTCTGCCGTGCATCTTGGGTTTATTCCAATGCTGACCTACCTGCCATATTGCTAACTTTTTAGCCTTCAGTGCAACTAGTTCTGTCAGCACTTGGAATCCAAAAGCCAGCTGCTCTGAGATTTTAGTAAAGGAATTATATAAATTAATGTGGTCATTAAGGTTAGGAGTGTGACCTCAGCTATATAATACCACCTAGGGAGAGTGTGTTTTCTCCAGTTCCTGGAAGTTGTGATCACAGAGTGACGGGTAGAGGTCCGGACAGACTATGTGTGAGAATGTGGTGGAATGAGCTGTCAATGCCCCCAAGTAACGATTGTGTTATCTCAGAAAGATTGGCCACTTTTACCCTAGAGTTCATCTCACACCCCTGCCTGAAATCACCTCTCCTTTTGGGTTATTTCTCAAATATCTCTGTGCTCAAAATCACTGGATGCAGTAATGATTTTTTACAAATATTGAATAATGTATATTTTATCCCTATAATCTTTTTATACAATATATAATTTTCTTATATAAATTATTTTATTTTATTTTACACTCTTTTTGAGAGAGATAGAGTGAGAGAAAGAGAGAGTGTGACTGAGTCAGTTGGGGGCTAGTTGGGGACACAGGGGAGAAGGAAAGAGAGAACAAGCAGGCTTCACACTCAGTGCAGAACCTGATACGGTGCTTGTCTCACGACCCTGAGATCATGATCTGAGCCAAGACCAAGAGTTGGGAGCTTAATTGACTGAGCCACCCTGGTGCCTCACATTGTATAATTTTTGATATATTGTAGCAAAATTGACCACAGATAGAATAAGAATTTTTGAGTTTTTTTGAGGCCAGGGAGAACTACTTGACTTGGCAAAGGACATGCAGCATCAGTAGGCAGGGGTGGGACTCAGCCTGCAAGGCAGACTTCCTGACCTGTGGTCCAGAGAATTTCCCACAACATCCTGCTGTCAGCATGTGGCCTGAGGTCATCTCCTCTCCAGCCTCTCCCCACTCTGCAGTTAGTGTCACCTGTATTCCAGAGGGCAGGCAAGGGCCAGTAGATAAATTCCCACCCACAATGCTGAGCAGGCTTGTTCTGACTGAGGTCTCACCAGGGTGTGTTCCCTTTCAGCCTGGAGGAAGGCACAGCTGTATGCAGGTATGTTACTCAATTTCCTGTTACCTTACCTCCCCTGGCTCAACTCAGCCCCCTTCTATGTCATGGACCCCACACCAGGATGGGGTTGGTGTCCATGCTCTCTTTGTCACTTTTGTCTTCTTCCTCTGAAGACTGCAAGGAGTGTCCTTGGGAACACAGATCAGCCTCCGTTCTGACCCATACTCTACTGCAGGTCACTGTTAGGGTTAACGACACCCTCTGAACATACTTTGTTCAAGTATACTTTTAATTGGTGCATTGACAACAGAGAAGTCATTTATAAGGAGAGTCTGGAACAGGGTAGTGACTGTATAAATCAGAAACTGTTGTTTGTAGAGGATTTCAGAAATCAAGCTTTCCTGCTTAGGACTCAGGTCTTCCTAAGTGGATCCTTGGTTCTGAATCCATTTTACCCTGAAATTCCTACTTTTTTGGCTGTGGTTTTGGTTTTCCTGTTTCTTACTAGACCTTTGGCATATTGGTCTTCATGCTCTGACTCCCTGTCCAAACTGTTTTTCTTCCTTTAAACATGCTTAGTTGCTGAGGAATTATATACTTTAGAGCAGATGTTCTGAATCTGAGATCCAGAGCTACGAGGATATTTATGGATTCCTGGGGGTGGGGTTTGTGAGCCACCTGCAATTATATACAATATCTTTTGTATATTTTTGTCTAATAAAAGCAATAACTTATATATATTATAATCATATTATATTATTTAATATGTATTATATATTAAATATTTAACATTACAATTTATGATATATATGTATTTTTATTTTATTTTTTAAAATTTTATTTTATTTTATTATGATTCATTGTGTAAGTCATAGTGAGCTAGTTTGATTTATTTTATTATGTTTCTATATAGTACATCATTAGTTTTTGATGTAGTGTTCCATGATTCATTGTTTTCACATAACACCCAGTGCTCCATGCATTATGTGCCCTCCTTAATACCCATCACTGGGCTAACCCATCCCCCCACCTCCCTCCTCTCTAAAACCCTCAGTTTGTTTCTCAGAGTCCATAGTCTCTCATGGTTCATCTCCCCCTCCGATTCCCCCCCTTCATTTTTCCCTTCCTTCTCCTAATGTCCTCCATGCTATTCCCCCCCTTCTACAAGTAAGTGAAACCATATGATAATTGACTTTCTCTCCCCCCCTTATTTCACTCAGCATAATCTCCTCCAATCCCATCCATGTTCCCCCCCAAGTTGAGTATTCATCCTTTCTGATGGCTGAGTAATATTCCCCCCCCCAAATGGACCACATCTTCTTTATCCATTCGTCTGTTGAAGGGCCCCCCCGCTCTTTTCACAGTTTGGCTATTGTGGACATTGCTGTTATGCCCCCCCGGGTGCCAATGGCCCTTCTTTTCACTACATCTGTGTCTTTGCCCCCCCCACCCAGTAGTTCAATTGCTGGATCATAGGATAGCTCTATTCCCCCCCTTTTTAGGAACTTCCACACTGTTTTCCAAAATGGCTGTACCCCCCCCCATTCCCACCAACAGTGTAAGAGGGTTCCCCTTTCTCCACAACCCCCCCAACATTTGTTGTTTCTTGCATTGTCAATTTTTGCCGTTCTACCCCCCCTAAGGTGGTATCTCAATGTGGTTTTGATTTGAATTTCCCTGCCCCCCCATGATGATGAACATTTTTTCATGTGTCTGTTAGCCATTTGTCCCCCCCCTTCAGAGAAGTGTCTTTTCATATCTTCTGCCCATTTTTTGCCCCCCCTGTTTTTTGGGTGTTGAGTTCGAGAAGTTCTTTATAGATCTCCCCCCCCAGCCCTTTGTCTATAGTGTCATTTTCAAATATCTTCTCCCCCCCCCCGGGTTGCCTCTTTGTTTTCTTGACTGTTTCCTTTGCTGTGCAGAAGCTTTTTATCTTGATGAAGTCCCAAAAGTTCATTTTTGCTTTTGCCCCCCCAGGCTTTGGAGATGTATCTTGAAAGAAGTTGCTCTGGCTGACCCCCCCGAGGTTACTGCCTATGTTATCCTCTAGGATTTTGATGGATTCCCCCCCCACATTGAAGTCTTTCATCCATTTTGAGTTTATCTTTGTGTCCCCCCCAAGAGAATGGTCAAGCTTCATTCTTTTGTATATAACTGTCCCCCCCCCCCAGCACCATTTATTGAAGAGACTGTCTTTTTTCCACTGGACCCCCCCTCCTGCTTTGTTGAAGATTATTTGACCATAGAGTTGAAGGTCCCCCCCTGGGGTCTCTATTCTGTTCCATTGGTCTATATGTCTGTTTTCCCCCCCAGTATCATGCTGTCTTGGTGATCACAGCTTTTTAATATAGCCCCCCCCCTGGCAGCATGATGCCCCCAGCTTTGTTTTTCTTTTTCAACATTTCCTTGGTGATTCGGAGTCTTTTCTGATTCCATACAAATTTTAGGCCCCCCCGTTCCAGCACTTTGAAAAATGTCATTGGAATTTTGATCGGGCCCCCCCTGAAGGTATAGATTGCTCTGGGTAGCATAGACATTTTAACACCCCCCCTTCTTCCGATCCATGAGCATGGAATGTTTTTCCATCTTTTTCCCCCCCCTTCAATTTCTTTCATGAGTGTTCTGTAGTTCCTAGAGTATCCCCCCCTACCTCTTTGGTTAGGTTTATTCCGAGGTATCTTATGGTTTCCCCCCCTATTGTAAATGAAATCATTTCTCTAATTTCCCTTTCTACAGCCCCCCCGTTAGTGTATAAGAAAGGAACTGATTTCTGTGCATTGATTTCCCCCCCTGCCACACTACTGAATTGCTGTATGAGATCTAATAATTTGGCCCCCCCGTCTTTTGGGTTTTCCACATAAAGTATCATGTCATCTGTGAA